AGCAGTTCCTGCACCAAAATTACTTACATTATTAACAACTTTCAAAGATTCACAAGTAGCCTTTTTATTAGCATCACTTGATGATGAATCTAAGGTGTAACTTGTACAAGCAGCAACAGTTGATAAGCAACCTGTATTACTCGCTTTTTAGCATATTCCCTTTTTATATCCTAAGATATCATTACAAGTTTATGCACTAGTTTAAGAAACTACTTTTTCACAAGTATTCTATTAAGTGCATGTTGCATCTCCACTCTTAAATGAACAAAATACTCCAGATGAGTTCACATATTTCTAACATTGTGTTAATTTTTTAGCATCTGTATCAATTCCAGATGGGAATGCATAGGTGCAATCTAATATATTTGGTAAATAACAAAATGTTCCTGCTAATTTACATGTATCAGCCACTGCACTTGAAACACCCTGTTATAAATAAGTAACGCATGTTAATGAAGTATTAAATGTGCTCAAGAATTAATCACAAGTTCTAGCTGCACACTTTGTTCCTGAGGCCCAACCGCAAACATATCCACTGCTATCTTTGACAGTTGTGCAATAACCAAACTTTTATTAATTAGTTGTTGCAGCATCAGGAGTACTATAACTACTACAAAGTCCTGCATCAATACATACGGATCCAGCCTATTTGAATCTACAAGTTGATTTATAGTTTGTGCAATCTGAAGCTTATTAAGGACTTGTTTTGTCTGCACATTATCTATCTACGCAGGTATCATATTTTGTACACCCAATCTTCGTCCAATCTGATCCAACTTATAACCCACCACTAAAATTAGGACAAGTAGAAACAGTTCCATTTTACACAGGACACAATCTTGCAGATCTAGCAATACAACCTCCTTCATTTTTTGCTATACATCCTGCCAAGAAAGCCTCACAATCCTCGTCTTTTGTGGCTGATGTATTATCTGTACATTCTCTCATTTTGCAAGCACCTGATGTAGCTGTTCCAAAGCAATATTTTGTACTATTTGTTCCTACAATTGCTGACTCACAGAATGCAGCAACACCTGTGTAACTTGCACAAGTTGTGTCTCCAGCTTAGGATCAACACAACCTGCATTACCATTATAGACACATCCATCTAAAAATGATCCACATGAACCATCAGTCTAGATTTCTGCCAATTTGCATATTTTAACTTTGCAAAAATCACTATCAGTTGCACTTGCACTATTGTAGCATTATTATGTTGTAAAGTTCGTACTTGATCCAGTCTTAAAAGAAAATAGTTTATTGCAATTTTCCTAAGTTCCTTTCATTGATGTGCATAGAGTATTGTAATCAACACAACCTTTTCCACTACTAATACATCCAGGTAAGAAAGTAGCGCATGTAGCATTATCTTATGCGTCTGTATTATCTGCACATTTTCTTTACACACAGGGAGTCGTATCTGTAGCGGAAGCTACATTAGTACAGTAACCTGGATAATTTAAACATGTAGATTATGTTCCAAGTCGTTTGCCACAGTCATATTTAGTTATGCAAGCATCAACTCTATTACTAATACATGATGAAAGATCTGCTGCACAATTTGCATAAGTGTTGTAATAATCTCCTGTTAAATCTGAACAAGCCAAATCTTGCAAGCATTATTCAACCAACCACATTTTCCTGTTACATAAATGAATTTTGCATTTCCTTAATCATCTACTCCATCTTATGTTTTAATTCTGGCTTAATTTGCTAAACAAATTGATTTTTTCTTATAATCACTGCATTATGTATAATAGTACAAATTGGTTACCATGAGCAATTATTTGTACCTTCACAACTTTATTATTTGACAGTGAAATCACAAGTAGTATATGAAACACATCCAGATCCAGCTGTCACACAATTAGTGAAATAATTAGCACAAAGTGGGTTAGTATTTACATTACTTGCTGCAGAAGCACAATCTCTAGCAACGAATTTGGTTCCACTCTTCCACGTACATTTACCTTCAGTTCCTACTCTAGATTAATAACTTGTGGTATCTCCTTCATAAGTAGTACAAGATTTCAAATTAGACTTTGTAACACATCCTTTTCCTGTAGTAACACATCCAACTTAATATTTGGCACATGCATCGTCTGTTGTAGTTGTATCTGGAGCTTCGTCACAAACCTTTGGTGCACAGGCAGCTTCAGTAGTTGTACTTGTTCCTTTGCAATATCCATCAGTGCCAATATATCCAGCACAAGTGGGTGGCAGTTACTTTATATGTATTACAAGCTGATAATGCTGAAACGCATGCTTTTCCATTTGTTCTAGAACTGTTTTAATATTATTTGCATAGATCATCAGTATTGAACGACCCATTGTCGCATTTTCTGGCTCTACATTTAGAACCTCCAGCATCACCTTCACAAACTCCATCTGATCCAAGGTATCCAACACAAGCAGTGTTATCACCAGAATAGGTTGAACATAATGGTTTTGTTGTTGCTAAAACACAACCTTTTCCTGTTGTGATACATCCTTTTTAATAGGCCTTACAGTCATCATCAGAAGCTAATGATGTTGGTGCATTCGCACATTCCTTGGCTTTACAGTTAGTTGTTCCTGTTGCTAATTTATAATTTCCATCTGATCCTATGTATGATTAATAAGCAGCATCATCTCCAGTATAGGAAGCACATGCAGTTCTTGGAGCATTAACGCAACCTTAATCTTTTTTCACACAACCAGCTAACCAGCTTGAACATTTGGCGTCTGTATTTAAGGTGATATCATCCTCTGAGCAAGCATAATCTCTGCAATTTCCGGCAGTTGTATCCCATTTACATTTCAAAATTCCTGAGATACTTGGAGTAGACTCACATTATTATTATTTGTAAACCTTACACTCCTTAGCTTCAATACATGAATTTCCATCACTAACACAAAAATAGGATATAGCCTAGCAATCTGTTGTTGTAGTTTTAACATAGGCTGGACATCCTGTAAAATGTGTACATTTAGAATCAGCATAGGCACATCCAAACGTTTTTGCACAATTGGTTTCAGGCTTATCAACAATTTCACAATAAGGTTTGAATGAAGCAACTGGATCGATTGTTGTTTTCTTCTAACATTTTGCAGGTGTTGTTTCTGATGCAGCCACCCATTCACAAGCTCCTGTAACAGTAACTTCTTATTCACAATCATTCTGTGATTTTAGTTATCCACAATCATTACATCTGTTTGTGAATTAAACTTGCTATGCTAAGACCATAGCTAATAAGCAAATTAGAATTAAATTCTTCATTAAATGTATTGATATAAAAATCTCATCAAACCTGATTAAATAGTTTTTAGATATTATTTAATTTGAATTTAGAAAGACGACATTTATTTTTTATTAGTTTTCTTAAGATTTCATTTTTTAAATTAAGTGTGATGAGGGACTTTTAAAAATCAGATATGATATTCATCAATTACGACTTAGATATACTTACTACATTATATATTTTTAAGTTATATAAAAAAATATGTATCAAAAAACCAAACCAGCTTAACACATTATTCAATAGAGAAGCATTTTGCCCAATAAAAAAATTATTATATCAAAATATAAATGCTAAAAATGAATTTAGTTGAGCTACTGTATACCAATTATTGATATAACGAAATTAATTTAGAGAAACAGAAAAAAAGAAATTAGAAGCATGAAAATTTATTTAAGCCTCTTCTTTGGTCTTCTTTCTTATGATAGTAAGGTTTAAAACACAAAATGCTAAAAAAATGTAAGAGAAACGGGGAAATCAACAATTTTTTAATAACTGCCAATTATGAATAAATAGTAGAAGAACTTAGAGGATTTTTAGAAAAAAAACGTAAGGCCTAATGATTAAGAAAGGAACCTGAAATTGCTAAAAGGAGGTATTTATAACAATTTAAATAATTTTTGTAATACTATAAATTATTTAATTTTGCAATGATAGTTCTAAACTTTGCAATGACAGGTCTAACTTTGCAAATGCTGCATCCTAAATTATAGCTGTTGAGGTTGGAGTCCATTATGTAAAAAAACAGTCATAAAAACATCCAAACCATTTTATTGTTAATTATTAAGTTAAATTAAAACTATGCATACATTATCAAATTAGGAATTAAAATTTTTTAATTTTATTTATAAATATTTTAAATATTCTTAAGCAAAAGATTGGAGTACACTATAACACCTGATATTACTTTAACATGCAAAGTTAGCCAAAATATATAAAAAATCAATCATCAATCATCAAGATAGAAACATTAACCAAAAATTTTATAGTCCTTTAAATTTTCAGAATCGAGATATTTTAAGAAGAAACTTGATTTCCATATCCAAAATTAGTGAATTAGATTAAAAAGAATTATGTTATGAGATAAAATCGTTTTATTTTTTTCCTTACATAGATAAAAATTACAGCATTTTTCTTTCTATAAATAAAAATATAATACTACATGTTGTATTTTCTTTTCATCTAATTGTCTTATTTTCCAATTTCATTAATAGGAATTCCAGAAAATAAATAGTTTTACTAATCTGAATTCTTGTGTTAAGTGTAAATAAATTATATTGTAATAAATTAGCAAGAACCATTTATTATAAATGGTTAAATTAATAGTCTGAATGAAAAAGGAAGATTAGATAATTTCTAATAAACAGGAAAGAGTCAGAGCCTTTATTCAAACAAGTATTGGTGATTAACTCAAATACAAGACGATAATGAAGATCCTCAAGAAAAAATAAGGGATGGAGTATTTTCATTTAAATTTTCTTAAAATAGCAAGGAGAGTTCATATAATTGAATATCTAAAATGATATTCAAACATCATCACTGCTAGTTCAATCCAGTGGTTGGTTTACAATATTAATATAATATGTTTATAAATATATATAATTAAAAATCTCCAAAAATTATCCCAACATCCCAATTCTAAACCTTTTTTGATTGGATGAGAAAATTATCTTCATTATCATACGAATTAATTACTTCATTGTCTATACCAATTCTTAAATTTCATAAACTGTAATTGACAATTTGCATTTACTCACTTTTACACTGTATATTGTTTCACAACTAAGAATCGAACAAGATCATTTTTAATCTGTTATGAAAAAAAAAATAAAGTTATTTATAAATACTTATAATA